GAAGACCTTTTGGAGCGGATCAGAGGTTGTTGCTTCCGTTCCCTCCACTACTAAGTCTGGATCTTCCTCCTCAACTACTTTTGGTTCCGCCATCAGGTCTTCTGTACTCTCATTTCCCCCAGCCATTCCTTGCGAAGACTGGACTTCTTCCATGAGGGAGTCCTTATCACCGGTGAGAACAGCCTCCTTGTGTGGACTGGTTAACTGTTTTATTTTTCTTTTTTTTCCTTTTTTTTTAATTGAACCAGCCCCTCCACTGAACCCTCTTCTATCGTCCCCACCCATTCCTCGGACTCTGAGTCAGAGTCTTCCCCTCTGGACTGTACTGCATTTACCCCCTTTTCTCCTAGCTGCAGGTAGTCTGCTGGTTGTGGACCTAGGAGTGTACCCACTTTTTTGTGGTTAACCGGTATCCACTGCTGATGACTCATTGGCCCCTTGCCTTTATCCCTGGGTCCTAGAACTTCTTTATCTAGAGACGAAGAGGATTGTTCCTTCCCCTTTGCCTTAAAGTTCTTTTGTGCTCCAGACGAGGAGGCCTATGTGCTATCATAGCGCGCGGGTTGTGCCAGGTGAGTTGACTATGTTGACTGTGCAACCATCGTGGGTGTTTTTACTGTTACTTCAGGGGGTACCCAAGAGTCGGGTTGGTGTTCCAATTAGGATCCCCCTCACGCTCCCATGTCCAACCTTTAGGCGTTTCCCCCTTCTTGGCACTCTCCACGTAGACCCATCCCTCATGCCCAACATCAACCGTCCTCCATAGATTAACTTTGAAGGGATCCCGAATGAGCCTTCCTGTTGCTCGATTCCTCCATCGCGGATTTTGTGTGCAGTTAGGATTTGTACTCAAGTGTTCATGAACTATGCATCTTAAACACCACGGCCTCAGTTTATGAGCCGTGTGAATGTGGTATTCTCTACCCCCTACCCTATATGGGATGACATCATTGAAGGGCACCGTGGTCGGGTGGGCGAGAGCCAACATCAGATGGTCATCCCTTCTGGCCACATACGCAGGGAGGGGGTCTATAAAGTCAACTATATCATGATATACCCCAACGTCATGAATGAATGCCGCTTGGATTTCTATTGGGATGTGCCTGAATTCCACTCAATAAAAATCTTCCATCATTTGGTTTCTCTTTTCATCTGGTCCCCGTTTAGGCGGCATCCAAGGATAGATCCGAACCTCTGATCGCGCACACCTTAATTTTTTCCAGGATTCAATCGTCTTTGTATTAGTCGTGTGTAAACACAGAATTATAAACATGGTTGCTGAGACTGGCAAAATAAGAAAGTCTTCACACACTGCTTCGTAGCTGGCCTTGAAACGCTGATAACCTTTTGCATATCCACTTAATCTTATCATTAGTGGATTTGTAAGCATCATCATCGTGGAAGACCCAGTTATTTGCATGTGTTGAATAAATTGTGTCACGTTCTGCCAATTTCTGAGATGGATAAGTTTTTATCATTGTTTTTTTTCCTGCTAATTCAATCACCCGACTCTCTGAAGGGATAATAAATTTAGATTAAAAAAAGCCTTGGCCATGGCCAGATTTCTCATATAGGTATTTTCAACGATTGAGACTGAGCGCCCTGCCTTGGGATTTCCAATTCTTTACATTGAAAAGACCCTTTGACGCATTGTAACCACGACGAAGGAGCTGTTACTGGATGTGACGACTAACCCTCATTGGCCAGCTTCATTCCCTATAGAAGAGGCCAGTCTTGCCCCTGAACAGGCAGATGTGTTAGAGATCCTGACGTTGTCCCCTCCTGCCTGACTCCCCTTCCTCCCATACTACCACTTTCCCCTTCCGTACCTCCTTCCTCCCTTCCCTCTCCTCCACCTTCTTGCCCTCTCTCCTCCCCTCTCTCCTCCCCTCTCTCCTCCCCTCTTTCCTTCCTTCCCCCCTTCTCACCACCCCTACCAGCTTCCTTCCTTTCCTCTATCCCCCTTCTTACTTCCTCCTCCCTTCTTCCCCTCAACCCCTGTGATATCCTCCGTAGTGGACCCGTTTGAGTAACCATACCTCCTTTGCCTCCCATAGGACTCTGGAACAGTAACTGGCCCTGACCTCTTGGCGTGAATGTACGCTTGTGCCCCATCATCAAAGTGTCCCCAGTTAATAGTGACGATCGCTGATATTCGGAGCCTATCCCCTATCCCATCGAATTTCCTTCCCCCGATGTCAATCTCCCCTGATCATTTTGGCAAAATAAGGGATTGAGCCCCATCAATCCCCTATGTGATTTGTTGAGATTGTGAGGGGGAGACGTGTTACTGGCTGGGTGTGGCATTCTTAGCCACACGGGCCCCAGTTAGGGCTCAGTTCCAGGTAGGCAAGGTAGGCAGGGTAGGCCTAACGGGACGACGGTTCAGATGAGGCCCAGGTAGGCCTAAGGGACGGCGGTTCAGGCAGGCCAGGGGTAGAGGCCCAGGCCAACGGCCACAACGCCGGTACCGGTCCAGCATAGGACCTGCTGGCGACACAGTTTCAGAGGCTGCTGCGTTTAGGAGCCAAATCGAGTTTCGAATCTGGACCGTCGATCAGATCAACGGTCCAGGCCGGTAGGTGCCAGCAGGTAGGAGGCCGGCCCAGCACTACAAAAGGCTGGGTACCAGCCGAAGTAGGGTTAGTATGGACCGAAGGTTAGTCTTCAGGATTAGCGCAGCATTCAGCGTTAGTACGATTAGCGCAGCGCTGCAGCATAGCGAGGAGCAGCTAGGAGGACAGGAGCTCAGCGGCGAGAGGATTAGTGCAGCATCGGGCGCAGCGCCAGTTACCGGCCCAACCCCCTTGCAGCGCCATAGCTACCGTGCCAAGTACCAGGGAGGAAGGCTTCACCTTCTCTCCCTCATCTTCCTCCACCGCTCCCTCTCTCTCTCTCTCTCTCTCTCTCTCTCTCTCCTCCTACCTTCTCCGTCTAAGTTTACTTCTGGGTTCTCCGGGACTACTATGAGTATGAAAGATGGTTACAAATTCTGATAATATTGGAGACAGCGACATTGGGACTATAGGTTGAGGACTACTTGTGGGATCTGATTTCATCTGCCTCTGGAGATGTACTTGACATTGTGAGATCGATATCTGAGACATTGTGAGACACTGTATCCGCGACATTTCGGACTTTTCGCCATCTCTGACATGTCAAGATACTATCGTTGGAAACATTGAGTTAACGTCATCTTCCCTCTCCTCCTCCCTTTGTCTCTCTCCTCCATCCATTTCGTCCGTGGATGATCTCGGACCTTGGCCTTTCGTCTATGTCCAAGGCCAGGGCTTTCACACCCCTGATGAATGATTGAGAGTGTTCGATAGCAGTCCGAGTCAGGTACGAGTCAGCCCATGTATCTCAAGTCTTCCGCTGTATTTGTATTTACTCTGTATTATCTGGTCGGTTCTGGGAATCTGCGCGATACTTATGACTGTGTTTCACGAGTATGCAATAGTTTGGTATCGGAGCAGACCAGCATTGGATGACTCACCATTGATTGATTGATTGATTGATTGATTGATTGATTGTCTACACCTGCACTCTGTTATCATTAAATCGCAAGTTGCAATTTTTTTTTCTTTTTCTCGTACTTACATAGTAGTTAGGTCGTTAAATTATAATTTTAGGTTTTGCGACTTTTCTCCATATTGCGCAAATTAGGGAATCGCTAATTACGAGTAACCTAATTAGCGCTAATTAGGGTTAGAATCTAAATGGCCTATCAACCTATGGGAAGTAAGTGCCAGCCAGGTACCGCGCCAGTTAGGGCAGATCGGGCCTGAGCACGACCACATTCAAACTACAACTTCACGGAACTTTCACTTTTTGCAAAATGCATCTTTTATTGCGTTGAAAGGTTGAATTTTCCTAGCAAATTGTGTATCTTCCTATTACCATTCATCTTCTACTTACTTAGTGACCTCGTGATGATGCTAAATTCTCCCGATTAAAATTTCGTGAAATTATTGTTATGTTTAAATGTTTAATTCATTTTTATTTGTGCAAATTTAAGTTTAACTTTTCTGAAATTAATTATTGCAAATTTAAATATTCTTTAATTAAATATTTAATCTTTGCCAAATTTCTCAAAATTCGAAAATCCGTCGGGGGGGGGGGGGGGGGGATTTTTTTTCTCTTTTTGATTAGTGTCAAATTTCGAGGTCAGGGGAGAAAGGGACTGTTTGTGCATTGTTTGCCTCTCTACCCTTCCTCCACCCCTACCTTCTCTCTCTCCTCCTCTCGGTACTACGGACGCCAGTCTCCCGCCACCTCAGCAGTGCCACATCAGCAGGTGCCACCTCAACGGTGACATGTCAGCAGCAGACGAAGACCAGAGTACTTGATGCGCCGCAGTCAATGACTTGCGGAGCGCGGATCCGCAGGAACCAAGCCCCAACAGGGACCTAAGACACCTCGGATCCCGCGCAGGCGACGCACGACCATGGCTGCTACCGCCGACGTCAATGCACAAGCCAGCCCCAAGAGGCCGGTTACCCCTCCTATCCCCGTTCAGCAGGCCGATGAACTGCTTCTAGCGTTCCTCAAACGTCTCTAATCCTACTCGGAGACCACGACAGCTGAACTGAGCAAGTGGGAAGAGGAGGAAGCCGCCCGCCAGCAGGAAATTCAACGCCATCTGGCAGAGGCAGAGGCAGCACGTCAGCAAGCCGCAGCAGAAGCTGCAGCAGCCGCACGGTTGCAACAGCAGCAGGCCGAGGCAAGTCAAAACCAAGTTCGTTACCAAGCTACAATGGAGCTCGCCAACGAAGAAGCCACGTACCGGAGGTTACTCCGACAGCAGCATTTTCGAGCAAACGAGGTACAAGAGGAGCCGACCGAGGACGAGAGCAACAAGGAGGCAACAACAATTTTGATGGAGAACCTGCTGTACACGTGCAATTGGCAGCAACGTGAACTGTTGGCCATGCGACATGTCTTCATCCGCCACGAAACGACGTTTAAAGCATTGGACAAGAAGATCGCTACTATGCAGGCCGAACTCAGCACACTACACACCGCCAACAGCTAGCAACAGACAATCAACGGCCAGCTGCAGAACGATGTCAGCACAGGGTTGGCACAACTATTGGCAGCTGTGTCGACGGGCAGCGCAATGGCAGACTGCAGCCCCGCCTTGGCCGCGCAGGCCAAGCAACTCGAGGAGCGGATCAACCACGTCCTCGACGACATCATCAAGTTTGCTGGTGCGTCAACAGTCAGCAATCAACTGCAGACGCTCAGCGACCGCGTTCAGCAACGACCGGCCGCTGTTGCCAAGGAATGGAAGATGCCGAACTTCAAGATCGAGAAGTTCGATGACTATCACAAGACTGATCTGCTGCAATGGTGGATGGCATTCAACGCAGAGGCGGACGTGCATCACACTCCAGCACTGCGGCGGCTTGACGCAGTCTACCTGCAACTCATTGGAGGGGCGCAGACCTTCATGACGCACATGGCGGTCACATTGGAATGTACCATCGCCACCCTCCACACCAAGATCGCGTGGGAGGAATTCGAGAAGAAATGGAAGACCCGGTTTATGGTCAACAACGACAAGCGTCACGCCTTGAACAAGATCTTTCGCATGTTTCAAGGCCAGCAACCTTCACGGGAGTTGCTGACGGAGTGGCAGAAACTCGTCGCCACCCCGGAGTTGAACTTACCGTTCGACGCAATCTGGGCCGAATTTTTCGCTCGGTCATGCGACGCCTTGACAGCTGCGCTGGACGGCGAATTCCAATATGAGACCTTTGATGACATGATCTCAAAGGCAAGAGGACTAATCCAAGGTAACCGGCGTGCGTCCAATGAGGCACGCCAACAGCCCAGTTATGTGGAGAAAGGCAAAGGTCAACGGACGCCACAAGTAGCAGCAGTCCAACAAGGACCTAGTGAGGACCACACAGCCGCATCTACATCCAGTGACGGAGATGTGGCGGCAGCGATACCACCGCAACGCTCAAGACCCCCAGGGGGAAAACAAAAGGCGAAACCAGCGTCGGCGCATGGAGCACGACAGACACCATGGACAAAGTTTGGCATTACCGAAGACATGTTCAAGTTGTGACAGAAATGGGGATGCTGTTTTTAGTGCAACAGCACCAAACACATCACCAGCACATGCCTCGACAAGGACAAGGAGAATGTCAAACGTCCAAGCTCGGGAAACTGAGCACCGCGGGAAGTGCAGCGACATCACTTCCCAATACGCCGAAGTCGGCTGCCTTGCTAGCAGTCTCTCCCACATCTGGGAATGACGCAGTAGTCGCAAGTTCTCGTATCGATTTTGAGAACTATGCTGTTGAGCTGGTCCCACCATTGAACCAGCCTCTTCACGTGCAAGATTCAAGCACATGCACAGTAGTCTCGTCGTCAGACAATGAACCGGTTGCTTCGCCAGCCCTTCTATCGGAGGATCCGTCGCTTTGGGCGAGTCTTGAGGAACTCGACCCGTTGACGGTTGAGGACTTCCAATGGTTGCCTCTTCCCTCCACCGGTTCTTTGCCAACTCCGCATTGCAACGCCTTAATGGCACATTTGCGCGAATACTTGCACGCTGCAGTACCACCTCCGTCGACGGATGGTGGAGTAGCGGTTGTTGACCTTCGTAGCTATCTTGCGAAGATCGGCCTCGAGCACGCAACGCAACGGTACATCAACATCGACGCGCTGCTCCTCTACATCCGCATTCAGATCGGAAAGGCAACCTTCAGTGCCTTGATTGATTGTGGAGCATCTCGCAACTACATCAGCCAAGACTTCATGGCACGCACCGGGCTTGGCCCACGCGTTCGAAGGAAAAGTCAGCCTACGCACGTCACATTGGCCGATGGTCACACACAAAAGTCAATCGACCGATGCGTTGACTCGGTGCCCGTGTACTTCGCCCCGCTAGCATATGAGGCCGTGTCATTTGACATATTGGACACTAAGTTCGATATGATCTTAGGCATGTCGTGGCTGCAAAGCGAAGACCATCCGATGAACTTCTATCGACACACCGTTCACGTTCGTGACCGGCGTGGCGAATTAGTCCCGTGCACGGTGCCGCTTCCTCATCCTCCAATTGGTTGTCACGTGGTCTCCGCGGCGAGCATTCGCCAATCCATCCGGCGGAACGACATTGAGGAGATGGGCATATGTTTTCTTCATGCCCTCCCACCCGGTGATCAGCCCAAGACGAATACGTCGGACTCACGCATCATTGAGCTGTTGGACAACTATGAGGATGTCTTCCAAGCTCCCGCCGGAGTAGTACCGGATCGGCCCATACGCCACGGGATCACTCTCGAGGACAACGCCATACCTCCGTGCGGATGTATCTACCGCATGAGCGAAGAGGACCTTCAAGTGCTTCGGGCACAACTAGACGACCTCTTGGCCAAGGGCTGGATTCACCCTAGCTGTTCGCCATACGGTGCTCCCGTTCTCTTCGTCCGGAAGAAGAACAAGGACCTTCGTTTGTGCATCGACTATAGGAAACTTAACGAGCAAACGATCAAGAACGCCGGCCCTCTCCCTCGGATCGACGATCTTCTCGAGCGACTAGGCGGCGCCAAGTACTTCTCGAAGCTTGACCTCAAATCCGGCTACCACCAGATCAAGATCCAGCCAAGAGATAGGTACAAGACCACGTTCAAGACGCGATATGGGCACTTTGAGTGGATCGTCATGCCTTTTGGTCTCACCAATGCCCCGGCTACTTTCCAAGCGGCTATGACGACGGAATTTCGCGACTTGCTCGACCGCACCGTACTCATTTACCTTGAATGATATCTTGGTTTATAGCCGGACGCTAGACGAGCACCTTCGCGCTGTGTTGGAGCGGCTCCGTATCGCCAAGTACAAGGCGAACCGCGACAAGTGCAAGTTTGCCCAGCAAGAGTTGGAGTACTTAGGCCATTACGTTACGCCGCAAGGCATTCGTCCGCTCGCGGACAAAGTACAAGCCATTCAAGATTGGTCGGACCTCAAGTGTACTACCGACGTCCGCTCCTTTCTTGGCTTAGCATCTTACTACATGCACTTCATCAAAGGGTTTCAACGGATCGCTGCACCATTGTCGACTTCAGTCCCCCTTGGTGCCCTTCGAATTCAACGACGAAGCCCGGCATGCGTTTCATACGTTGAAGACGACTTTGCTCCAAGCTCCCGTCTTAAGCATCTATGACCCGACCTTGCCTACCAAAGTGACTACGGACGCTTCCGGCTACGGCATTGGCGTGGTTTTGGAACAGCATGACGACACAGACTGGCATCCGGTTAAGTACTTCAGCCAAAAGGTGCCACCCATCAACACTCTTGATGATGCGAGGAAGAAGGAACTGCTAGCTTTTGTCACCGTACTTAAGCGTTGGCGTCACTTTCTCCTCGGGCGTCGGCGATTCACGTGGGCAACGGACAACAATCCGTTGACTTATTACAAGACGCAAGACACGGTGAGCAGCACGATCGGTCGATGGATGTACTTCATTGACCAGTTCGACTTCACCTCCAAGCACATTCCGGGCTCCTCGAACAAGGCAGCGGATGCTCTCTCACGAAGACCTGATCTTTGCGCCTTGGTGCACTTCACATTCGGCCTCGACGAGAACTTGCAACAACATTTCGTAAACGGCTACAAGTCGGATCCGGGATTCTCCACACCCTATGCGGACTTATCATCGGATCACCCGCCGACAAGCAATTATCGCATTGTCGACGGCTACTTGCTTCTCCATACACGAGGCAAGGACTTGTTGTGTGTTCCCCAAGACCGCATCTTGCGCACTCCCCTCCTTGGCGAATACCACGATTTGCGGTTGGCGGGACACCTTGGCGTCGCACACACGCTTGCACGACTCCGCCAGCGATTTCACTGGCCGGACATCATCAGCGATGTCAATCAGTACATTCAGTCATGTGCAGTTTGCCACCGGAACAAAGGGCGCCATCATCTCCCGTACGGCGAACTAAAACCATTGCCGATTCCTCGGGAACCGGGTCTCTCCATTGCTATGGATGTGACCGGCCCTGTCCCTCGCGATCGCCTTGGCCATGACGATATTCTCACGGTCGTTGACCGTTTGAGCAAGTACGCTCGATTTCTTCCATGCAAGTATCATGCGACGGCTCCTGAGCTCGCACGACTTTTGCATACCGGCTGGTTTTGCAGCCACAACGTTCCGGAAGACATCGTCAGCGACCGCGACACTCGTTTCATGTCAGCCTTTTGGACGACACTTATGGTGGAATCCGGCACCAGCATGAAACCAAGTTCCGCACGACATCCTCAAACGGATGGGCAAACGGAACGTGCACACCAGACTGCGCAGATGATGCTCCGCACACTCATCCGTCCAGATCAGAAGGACTGGGTTGACCGCCTTCCCGACATCAAGTTCGCCTACAACACTTCGGTGCACCCGACGATTGGCGTGACTCCATTCAAGTTGCATCACGGTGGACGGAAAGGACGTATCTTCGCAGACATTTTGCTTCCACGGGCTGCCGATATCGAAGCCGCTTGCTCCCCCGCTTCTACACGGAAGTACACGGAACTGCTGGCCAAAGCCCGCGCAAACATGCAAAAGGCTCAGGTCTGTATGCAGCAGCAAGCGAACCGGCGTTGCATCCCATGTCCAATTTGCGCCGGCGACCTAGTTTGGGTCACCTCCAAGGAATTTGAGCTCGAGCAGCATGTCTCGCGCAAGCTCCTCCCTAAGTGGTTTGGACCATGGAAGGTCGCTTCAGCAGCTGGCGACAACCCCGCGGGTCCATCTTTCATCATTGATTTTTCCCCGCATTTGACGGTCCACCCGATATTTCACGCTTCAAAGCTGGCGGTCGACACTCCAGCCTCCGCAGCGGACTTCCCGGGCAGACGGTCATAGGACCCTCCTTCAATGGATGGTCATCAGGAGGCCGACCGCGTTCTCATGCATCGCAAGCATGGCAACAAGCCAATGCAGTACAAAGTTACATTTAAGCAATGCGATCCTGACGACACACGCTGGATTTCACGAGCTGACCTGAAGGCGACAACACCCCTCATCTTCGCACATTACGAAAAACAGCGACTTGCTAAGGAAGCTGCCCAACCTGCCCGCCCCGTACGGACATCGGACAGACAGCTTCGCCCTCGCAGTTAGCTCGGTCTTCAAGGGGGGGAGTGTGTGGCATGCTGAGCCTCACGGGCCCCAGTTAGGGCTCGGTTCCAGGTAGGCAGGGTAGGCCTAAGGGGACGACAGTTCAGATGAGGCCCTTGTAGGCCTAAGGGACGACGGTTCAGGCAGGCCAGGGGTAGAGGCCCAGGCCAACGGCCACAACGCCGGTACCGGTCCAGCATAGGACCTACCGGCGGCACAGTTTCAGAGGCTGCCGCGTTTAGGCGCCAAATCCAGTTTCGAATCTGGACCGTCGATCAGATCAACGGTCCAGGCCGGTAGGTACCAGCAGGTAGGAGGCCGGCCCAGCACTACAAAAGGCGGGGTACCAGCGTAAGTAGGGTTAGAATGGACCGAAGGTTAGTCTTCAGGATTAGCGCAACATTCAGCGTTAGTACGATTAGCGCAGCACTGCAGCATAGCGAGCAGCAGCGAGGAGGACAGGAGCTCAGCGGCGAGAGGATTAGTGCAGCATCGGGCGCAGCGCCAGTTAACGGTGTCGCGCAGTTTCCTCTTCCGACCTAGACCAGCTAGGTTGGACCGCGGTGGCCCACAGTGCTTCCCGTAAGACCAACCATTCACCTCCCGTTCGATCCGAGCGGCTCTCCCTAGGGTTGTGGGCGTTTTCTCTTTCCTAAGTACCCCTCCTTGGCTCCCTAACCTCCCCCCTTTCTCCCCAAGTCAAACCCTCTTTCAGTCGTCAAGCGGAAAGTTTCGGCCGGGTTACAAGAGGAAAAAGAGAAAAGGACCGGAAAGTGTTTCACTGAGGTCCACTTAGATTAGAACAAAGGGTACCGGGTGCGAGAACTTGACCAGCTTCAGGGAGAACGGAAGCTACCAGCCAGCCGTGCGAGTCGAGTCACTCAAGCAGAAAGCGTCTCGCTGAGAGAGGTTGACCTTGTTAGAAAAGGAAAACGGAGACTGCTGAAAAACCGTACAACTGAAACGAAGACTGTTGTTCCGCAGTTAGAAGAGCATTGTGTAAGGG